CTAGTATATGAAAAATTTGCTCGTTTGAATTACAGATAAGTAACAGATGGTAACTTTTTATGCTTATCATGTTGTTGACTTTCATACGAGTGATTTTGCTAAATATCTAGAATTGGTCAAAACAGCGGGAACAAGTCAACCCGGCCCTAAGTCAAACCGGCCCGAAATTGGTCATTCCCGGCCCCAAACCAATGTTATTTCTAGTCAACCCGGCCTCATTTTTTATTATTTATTTTGCTTTAAAATATAAACACTTATCAAGAAAGAAAATAAAAATTAACAACAAATAACAGAAAAACAAAGTTTAACGTTGATATCTTTTATTATTTATTTTTATGTAAAAAATATCAATAATAACAAACAAGCAACACACGCATAGTTTACTGTTCATAAGTTCTACAATGTTCGTCACATGCAAACACCAATTCACTTGTCTTCTTCTGCCTTTCTTCTACCTAGTATGGGTCTATACATGGTAGACACAATCTCCAATAGGGCGGTTGCTGATAGCTCTTTCGATCGATATCTGTGAAATAAAACAAAACAAAAAGTTATAGATATTTATCAGTGTAACTAGTTTAAATAGGTACTAGTCGATAAATTATTAATGTTTCTTTACAAAATTAGCAAAGCGATGGTACATGACTCAAGTTTATTTCTTCAACTATTTTTCAGCTTGTTCATATTTTTCGCTTCAAGATACCATTTTCTTTAAAAAAATGACTTAGTTTTAAATAAGTTAATTTCTTTTTTTTATTGAGAAATACAAATGTTGAAAAGAATTTCATTAAATTTTGCATTGCAACCAAGAATAGATAAAAAGAATAAACCAATTGAAAAACAACTAAAGGTTTATTTATAAGTTGTTTGCTCTTGAAATGACTACAGTTTAAACAAATCCAAGTCATAGTCAAATAATTTAAACACGAGCTCAGTGACACAACATTCGCATGGCTTGATTTAAAATGATTCTGTTTTTATTTTCTATATTGAGTAAGTTCATGCAAAGTTTGAATAAATTCTACTATAAAGTTTTCATGTTGCCTATATGTTAATGTAGCATACGCCTTCAAACGTGATTTAGTTTGGCCCTGAACTTGAAACTATGTGACTTCTGAAACTTAAGAAATATTTTCAAGTAAATAACAAAAGTGATTTTACTATTATAATAAGCAGGTGAATTTATTTGCACAGCATTCGTATGATTAGAATATTATTTGAAATTTCAGACATTATATGATACGGAGTTAAAAAAATAAGACAAGAAAAATATAAAAGTATAATAATTTATAATTGTATGTTGACTACCAATCAAAATTAATATTTATCTTTGTTGATATAATAATAATTGAAATCAAACTGTTTTAAACGCATTGGAAACAGCAGAAAGTCATAACTAAAATCATGATATTTGACAGAAATATTTTAAGTGTTAAAATTTTGTTTTATGTCAATAGTTATTTTTTTTAAACATTTTTTTTCAATATATTTCATTATATATTTTCTTCATATGTTCTATATAATTATGTAAGTTTTAGAATAGAACAAAATGTTAAATCTGAGAAATAATTGTTGTACGAATTATAGTATTGAACACTGATCATTATATTAACTGTAAACCACACTCAAATAAATATGGGAATGTTTTTCTTCCGTTCATTTTTGAAAAAAAATGTTATTTTTCTTTTTTTTCCAGATTCTACATGAAACAAGAAAATGCAAATAAAGGTGCAAAGCAATGATGCGAATTCAACAAACCTGGAATAAAGCAGGTGGAATAGAGCAAATTTTAGCCGCGTCACGACAAAACCAACATAATGCGTTTGAGACTAGCATGGATCAAATCCACGCAGTCTTATCAGTATCCATGCTGTTCGCTTACAAACCCTAAAACAAGTGGAGGAACTGATAGCGAACATCATGGATCCTGATCAGACTGCGCGGGTGTGCAGGCTGGTCTGGATCCATGCTGATCGCAAACGCATTACGTTGGTTTTGTTATGGCGCGGCTCATTTTAGTAACATTTTTTTATGGTTTTAACATATTACATTTTAGTATCAATAGGACACCCTATGGAACAAGTTTTTTTTTGGTGCAATATTCTAGATCAAATGTATCCTAATTATTATATAAAATTAAAAAAAAATCCAAAAGCAAAAATAATTTCCTAGGCAGATACGACTTTGTTTAAGCTTAATGATTATTGATTTTTGCAAACAATAGTGAAGAGTAAAGTACATACTATTTTTTACTACACATTCTTTTTTTGAAATTTAATAATAACCTTGAAAAAATGCGTAATCAAACATTGTCCAGTGAATAAAATTAATAAAATTAAATAACCTATTAGAAAACGTTACATACTGTTCATTGGAAAATAGTATGTAAGAGTACCAGTAAATAAGTACAAAAGGAAAAACAGAAAGTCATATAATAAACAAGGCAGGAGACCAATTACTTTAAATTTCTTCACTCTTTATCAATTTTACTTTAAAAATAAGAATCTGAATTTTCAGTCATTTTCCTAAGAAATATTTTAGGCAAGTTAAGATAAACATACACAAGTAAATTTTTGTTGCAATCTTGTGGCATAAATGTGCCACTTAAGACTTATTTTCAGTTTTAATGTAGTGAAGTAAATATACTAAGCAAATATTAAAAACATTTTTACTCGGACAAATATTTCTTCTTCCAAAAGTTACATAGCTTGTATAATTCCAACACAAAGTGCACACTTTTTTTATCAAAAGTACCTGGAAATAAATATGTTTAATTTAAACTATAAGATTTATTTTAACTTTTATTTTGTTTTACAAGCATTTAGCAATACAATGATGCAATCGTCAATAAAATGATAAGATTAAAATGAAACTTCTTTCATTTAAAAAATCAGAAGTAATCTTTAAAATGCTTAAAGGTTCGATAGAAAAAATGTCAATTACAAATGTAAAATATGCTCAATTGTAATTACATGTATTACAATCATAAGTATTGAAATACCAAAACCTCTAAGATAAATAGAAGAGAAAAACAAAAACAAAAATAATGAAAGATTTACATTCTTTACTTATTTAGCCACAGAGTAAGAATATCAAGAAAAACAACAACAATAAAAGGCAATTTTGAATTTACAATAAAATATACAAAAAGGCCTCTTTTTGACTTTGTTAATTGAGCCAGATTTCGACCCCAACTTGATTAAATTAAACAAAAGTGTGAATGTGTCTCATAGCAGTGCGTTTTAATCGCTTCGATTTTCAATACTTAATGAAATTAAGAAACTATGTAACTATAGCAAAAACGTGTATGATAGACTAGAAAAAACACCCTATATTATAATGCTTTTATACTGTTGAGTATAGTAATAATGCTATTTTTAACTGCAAAAACCCACCTAATAGTTTTGAAAAACATAGGCATTTAAGAATGTGCATAAATTTACAGTAAGTTTTATTTATATATGAGGTTAGAATGTGTGTTGTATTTGTATAAAGAAATTTGATAATAATGTCAAATATTTAAATTTAAGATGATAAAACTCTTATTTAAGGTTAAGGTTGAATATTACATGCCTTTAACTCAAAATTATATTGCCTATAATTTTAATTCAAAATTAAACATATATCAGTGTATGATACAGGTTAAGGAATATGCCATACTATTAAAAGTTTTGTAGTCTTGCAAGTATAGCAGTACAATACTGTATATTAATTACTGTTTGCAGCAGCAATCAACATCAGCCTTAAATATAAAATAATGAAACATATTAATATAATATTTTCTTTAATATTTTATCTCTTGTTTATATATAAGATGCATGCTATTTGACTTTGTTTAATTTCAATGTATATAGAGAATTGGAATAAGGCAAGAATATGAAAGTATATTCTAGTTATGTGGCCATGGTGAAAATAATTTTGAAGATTCCTTATGAGTACTGTATCATATGTGTGTATTTATTGCTCTTGATAGGGCTTATTGTTTTGGGCTTATTTTTTTTCCTTCATATTTTAATACAATTATTTAGATGCCTTTTTATCTAGAATATTGCATAAATGAATTGTTCAATAGGGTGTCTTATTTATACTGAAATACAGTTTATTAATTATTAATAAACCAATGATATATTTATTTTGACATTATTTTATTTGTTACAATATACATTAAAAACAATTGATTACATATTTAGCACATGTAGATTTCACATGAAAAGCTTGTATGTATTTTCTTTAATTAAATGCATAGATTTATTGAAATCTAGGAAATTTTCAGATTTCTTTTATTTTCAGATTGTAACTGTTTATTAAATATAAAGTATAGATCACATTAATTAGTTTTATTTGTACACATACAAAAATCTAACATGTAAGCATGTATTAAAAGGATTTCAAGAGACATAAATATTTATTACATTGTTCAACATAGAGAAATATCATACTGTAATAATATAAAATTTCTTTTTTATAATATAAAGCATAAAGTATATAATTTATTATAGAACAAGCTTTAAACTGTAATAGGTCAATATTAAAGATATATTATGCTCAAATGAGATATTTGAAAATACTAATAATTTCTATACAGTCTTTTTTAAAGTGTAAATAAAAAGTCATGTGAGTACACACAGAGAAGAAATGATGCATTTCAAAATAATACACTCTAAATGAAGACACAGTATTAATGCATAGTGCCATTATAAAACTGGCAGTTTTTTTTTAAATATAGGACCACACAAACTGGACCAGTGATAGAGAATACAGCTTCCCAAACATTGTTTGTGCATTCTATTATACAAATAAGACATATGCAGTAAGAATTTCCTAGATTTCTATAATTTTTTGCAATAAAAATATTTTACCTAAATATGAGCTTAGTACATTTAAAGCTTCGTTTGATTGATCAAAAATCAAAAGAGATGAATTATTGTTACACATAATTTGTTTGTTGCCTTTCATTCTCATAAAAGAGTCACTGATTTTATTACATGAATTTGATATGCATGTAGATATATTAATTATATATTATTTGCAGTATTTGAGGGTGATGCATGATGTTTACTAAAAGATGGCATACTAGAAGTCAAAAGGTTTCAAAGAAATGAAAATCAACAACAAAAAGTGCAAGACGTTTTTGAATTCTGATTTATCACAAAGTAATATACTTTGAATAAATATTGAATAAGAAGTAAACTGCCTGACAATTTTTATTTGACAATCTGTACTGTCTTACATTCTAAAAATAAATATTTCTAATTCTAAATATTCTATCAATGAATTTAAGTTAAGAAGTTTAAAATCAGCTGTCAATGAAAATCTGAGCTTTGTGACATATTTTATTTAACTATCAATACCTTTCTTCAATTCTAAAATGACACAATCAATAAAAATGAATATATTTCTAAATATCCCTGTAATAAAATGTATACTTTCTAATATATTCTTATATATTATTTTAATTAATATAGGTCTAGGCGTAGAAGTTCTAAAGAATATGTTTCTCTAAGTTTTCCATATAATATCTAAAGATTCTGTGAAATTGTAGTTTATTAAAATGCTTTTCCTATGAAATTGAATTTTATATAGCTTTTACAAATTTATAAATAGAAAATAATGAATAAAATCTAAGATCCTTTTAATCAAAATTCTGATATTCTGATATTCCATGTTCATGGTTGTGTATTCAATAGCTTAATGTAAATGCATATTTTTTAATGTTCTGTACTTGAAAATTTATTATTCAGTAAATAATTATTACAAGTACATAGCTTTTTTTATTTGTTTATGTATACATTTTTACATGTTTTCCATATAATATCTAAAGATTCTGTGAAATTATAGTTCATTAAAATGCTTTTCCTATGAAATTGAATCTTATATAGCTTTTACAAATCTATAAATAGAAAATAATGAATAAAATCTAAGATCCTTTTAATCAAAAGTCTGATATTCTGATATTCCATGTTCATATCAATAGCTTAATGTAAATGCATATTTTTTAATGTTCTGTATTTGAAAATTTAATATTCAGTAATTAATTATTACAAGTACATAGCTTTTTTATTTGTTTATGTATACATTTTAACATTTTTTAAGTGAAAATGTACAATTTTCATTATTATATGATTGAAATGTTCAACTACAAAAATAGTTTTTCAGAACGAAAATGTATATTTTTACACCCAATGAATTACACAATAAAGTTTTCATTATAAACTTGTCAATACACTCTTAGTAATAAATTATTATTGTTAATAAATACTTTTGAACATACCATTCTTAAAAATAAATGTTTCACAGCATTTGATAAAAAAGAGAACAGGAATTTAAAAGAGGTTTTCTTAAACAAAACATTGCTGTTAGGTTTATTTGTTAAGAGCACTATATTTTTGTATATGCATGTATATTCTATAAATAATCTAAAATTTATATTAGCATTTTTACATTATGTAATCAAAAATGTATTCTTCTAAATGTAATATACATGTATGTGAAAATACATGAATTGACTAATAAAATGTTAACATTTCAACATAATATATTTGAAAATATATTTACTTTCGTTCAACATGTTCAACATTAATCAATAAATCACATCTATAAGCATTTTATCAAAGTAAGTGTATATAACTTTGAAAGAAGTGTACTTTTCTACACTAATTTGCATACATTTCATTTTTGCAAAAGAAAATGATAGCTTTTTTAATATTCTACAATTGAAATGTTTCCGTTATGTAACCTTGTATATTTTTCAAAATCATAACAAGATAATATGAAGTTTTAAAACACTCTAATATATATAGAGTTTGGAAAAGAAATGCCTTTAGAACTAAAGCAATATTCCACTATAACACAAAAAGTTATTCAATATTTATTCAAAGTATATTACTTTGTGATAAATCAGAATTCAAAAACTTCTTGCACTTTTTGTTGTTGATTTTCATTTTTTTTGAAACTTTTTGACTTTTAGTATGCCATCTTTTAGTAAACATCATGCATCACCCTCAAATATCTACATGTATATCAAATTCATATAATTAAATCAGTGAATCTTTTATGAGAATGAAATGGCAACAAACATATTATGTGCAACAATAATTCATCTGTTTTGATTTTTAATCAAAATAATAAAATGAAGCTTTAAAGATACTATGCTCATATTTAGGTAAAATATTGTTAGTGCAAAAATGATAAAAATCTAGGAAATTCTTACTGCATATGTCTAATTTGTAAAGGAGAATGCACAAACATTGTTTGGGAAGCTGTATTCTCTATCACTGGTCAAGTTTGTGTGATCATTTATTTAAAAAAAACTGCCAGTTTTATAAAAGCACTATGTATTCACACTGTGTATTTATATTGAGTGTATTATTTTGAAATGCATCATTTCTTCTCATTATTTTGAATTTCTTCTATGTGTGTACTGTGTTTACACTTAAAAAAGATTGCAAAGAAATTATCAGTATTTCAAATATCTCATTTGAGCATAATATATCTTTAATACTGACCTATTACAGTTTAATACTTTTATATAATAAATTATATACTTCATGTTATATATTATAAAATGAAATTTTATATTGTTACAGTATGATATTTCTCTATGTTGAACAATGTAATAATTCTTTATGTATCTTGAAATCCTTTGAATACATGCTTACATGTTAGATTTTTGTATGTGTACAAATAAAACTGAATTAAAGTATACTTAAAAGGTAATAAAAAGTTAAAATCTGAAAATTCTAAAGATTTCAATAAAAAATCTGAAAATTTCCTAGATTTCAATAAATTTATGCATTTAGTTAAAGAAAATACATACAAGCATTCCATGTGAAATCTACATGTGCTAAATATGTAATCAATTGTTTTAATGTATATTGTAACAAATAAAATAATGTCAAAATAAATATTACATTGATTTATTAATTATTTATAAACTATATTTCAGTATCAATAAGACACCGAATTGAAAAATTCATTTATGCAATTTTCTAGATAAAAAGGTATCTCAATAATTGTATAAAATATGAAGAAGAAAATATAAGCCCAAAACAATAAGCCCTATCAAGAGCAATGAATACACAAATATGATAGAGTACTCATAAGGAATCTTCATCATTATTTTCACCATGGTCACATTACTAGTTTATGCTTTCATATTCTTGCCATATTCCAATTTTCCATATACATAGAAATTTAACAAACCAATTAAAATAGCATGCATCTTATACATAAACAAGAGATAAAGTATTAAAGAATATATTATATTAATATGTTTAATCATTTTAAATTTAAGACTGCTGTTGATTTCAGCTGCATACAATATGTAAACAACATTTTACTGTCATATTTATTAGATTACAAAACATTTAATAGATAGTTTAGATTATTTATAGAATATACATGCATATACAAAAATATAGTGCTCTTAACAAATAAACCTAACAGCAATGTTTTGTTTAAGAAAAACCTCTTTCAAATTCCTGTTCTCTTTTTTATAAAATGCTGTGAAACATTTATTTTTAAGAATGGTATGTTCAAAAGTATTTATTAACAATAATAATTTATTGCTAAGAGTGTATTTACAAGAATATAATGAAAACTTTACTGTGTAAATCATTGGGTGTAAAAATATACATTTTCGTTCTGAAAAACTATTTTTGTAGTTGTACATTTCAATTATATAATAATGAAAATTGTACATTTTCACTTAAAGAATGTTAAAATGTAAACATAAACATATAAAAAAGCTATGTACTTGTAATAATTAATTACTAAATATTAAATTTTCAAAAACAGAACATTAAAAAATATGCATTTACATTAAGCTATTGAATACACAACCGTGAACATGGAATATCAGAATATCAGAATTTTGATTAAAAGGATCTTAGATTTTATTCATTATTTTCTATTTATAGATTTGTTAAAGCTATATAAAATTCAATTTCATCAGAAAAGCATTTTAATAAACTATGATTTCACAGAATCTTTAGATATTATATGGAAAACGTAGAGAATCATATTCTTTAGAATTTCAAGGCCTAGACCTATATTAATTAAAATAATATATAAGAATATATAAAAAAGTATACATTTTATTACAGGGATATTTAGAAATATATTTATTTTTATTGATTGTCATTTTAGAGTTAAAGAAAGGTATATATGGTTAAATACAATATGTCACAAAGTTCAGATTTTCACTGACAGATGATTTTAAACTGCTTAACTTAAATTCATTGATATAATATTTAGAATTAGAAATATTTATTTTTAGAATGTAAGACAATAAAAATTGTCAGGCAGTTTACTTCTTATTTGTAAAATATTGAAAATATTTTTATTAAAGTTGTTTAAAACTTCATGTACTTGATTTCTTTTATAGAATATTACAAATTATAGTAATCTCAGTTATAGAATGTAAAGTATAGTTTGCCAAATATAGATTGGCAGAAAGTTTACATTTTCATTTATAGAAAAATAAAATAGTTCTTAATTTTCATTTGAAACTATAAAAATCTATTAATTTCATTTATAGAATATGAAGAACTGATGGTAATAATGGTATTTTCTTCATGTAATGAATATAAAAACTATTTATTTTTATTCATAGACTATTAATAATCATTCATTGTTATTTTGGAATATAAAAAATATATACATAGCCATTATGTGGAATATCAGATATTTTAAAATTTTATATAGTGTTTAATAAAAACTATTCATTTTCATGTAACTGATGTTTAAAACTGATGGAATATAGGTGAGAATGGGTTGTCACTAATAGAATGTCAAGCTCATATGCTTGATTTATAAAATGTTGTTAAGCATTCATTTTGTAAGAATGGTATGCTCAAAAGTATCCATTAACAACAATGATTAAGTATACTTTTTCAATTACAAAATATTATGAAAACTTTACCTTTTAAAACATTGAATGATAAAATATACATTTTTAGTTTATAAATTGTATTTCATTTATTGTTTTAAAATATTCATTGTACAATTTATACTTTTGAATTATATGATAATGAAAATTGTACCTTTTCACCTGAAGAATATTAAAAATATATAATATATTCCTTAATGTTGAAAACTTGAGAGTGTGTACTGCTACATTAGAATAGATCATTGTTAAATATACATTTACAAATATAAAATAGTGAAAATTATGCAATTTGGTTTAGCTATTAAACGCAAAACATTGTACATTGTCAAAGACAGAATGACAGAAACAGTACATTTTAAGTTATAGAATATTGAAGTATATTAATTATTTTCTATTAATAGATTTGTAAAAAGCTATTAATTGTCATTTAAAGAATATTAAGAACATTTATTTTCATAAGAAGTATGTAATATAGCTAGCTTTAAAAAATATATTGTTAAAATAGAATATAAGATAGTATTCATTTTAATTTTTAGAATTTTAAATATTTTTTTTCATTCATAGAACATCTAGAACTATCCATTGTCATTTGTAGAAATAACAAATGTAGTGATGGTTAAATACAGGTTGTTGAGGTTTATATTTTTAATGACAGATTATTTTTAACTACTCATTTTCAGTTATTGAATAATGAAATATATAAACTTTTATTTAAAGAATGTCATACAATATATATATTGTCAAATAAAGTTTATCAGGAGGTATACCTTTCCTTTGTAAATTTGTAAAACATATTTTAATTTTTATTTTCATTTATAGATTATTTAAAACAAAACAGTTTTATTATTTAAGTGATTTGGTATATAATGGAGGGTATGTAATTTCATGAATAGTTACGTTTGTAGTATTATTAGGCATATTAACGAACCATGAAAAAATTATACATGGAAGTTGTTGGCAAGTGTGGGATTCATGATCCGATATTATATTTATATAGCAGATAATAAAATATTCTAGAACAAAATATTATTATTCATCATGCAAATGTTACATTTATAAGAATTTCCAAGTGATACATTTCTATTGTTTTATCAATATTTGAAATATTAATTGATTTTTTTTTTCATTGTATTCACTTTAATAGAATATTACAAAACTATACATTTTCAATTTATATATGATTAAATGAAGATTGTCATAAAGTATACGTTTTTAATGAACAAAATTAAAATAAAACCATTCCTATTTTCTATTTTCAGATTATTTAAATTTAATTACTTCCATTAAGTAACTGTGAAGAACTTATGGAATTTCAGAAAGTTTATATTTTCATCTATTGTAGAAAACCATTTCATTGTCGTCTTTAGAATGTTAAAATGTATTGCTAGATAAAATAAAGATTGTCAAATAGTTAAGGTTTTATTGTTAGTTAATTGAAAATTTCAATTTTTTCATTTGTGGAATATTAAAACTGATAGATTGTAAACAATGGGTTTTAACATACAGACTGCAACAAAGAATAGATGCATTGAATTTTGTGTTTTTATTTTCTCAATATCAAATTAAAAGCTGTTTGTTTTCATACTTTAAATGCAAAAATGTTTAAAAATATTCATTCAAATTTCTAGATTGTAAAGTACAGATGGTAAAATATAGTGTTTCACTTATACATCCTTGTTTATCAAATATTAAAGACTATTTAAGTTTATTCAATGAATATTATATATAATTCTTTGTTTTATTATTTATAGAATGCCAAAAGAATTGATGGTCAAATTATTATCAGAAAGATTACAATTTCATTTAATTAAAAACAAGTTATTTTCATCTTCATTTATACTAAGTATGATAGTAGAATCTAGATACTAGTCAAAAACAAATATCTTTGAAAATAGATATTTATGCTCATAGGATATTTTATGAATAACACATTGGTTTGTGAGTAACAATACAAATACCTCCCTGAGAAAAATACTGTTACCCGACGAATAAATACTCCATTGGGACACTGTTTCTATAGGTTTTATTTGTGTAAAAGTACTGTTTAATACATGTATGTAACAGTACAATATTTTAAGTCACATGGTTCACTTGAATTAACAGTACGAATAATTGGCATTGGTCTATTGGAAATTAACATTACAAAAAAGTGAGGTAGCAAATATAGAATATCAGGAAATAAACATTTTCATTAATAGAATACCACAAATATACAATTTTAATAACGGAATATTATGAAGTTTTCATTACTAAATACATCGAATATTATAAAGTATAAATATTCATTATTGGACATCAAATAGTTGTCACATGCATTTTGATATATTATATTATTAAATTAAAACAATAATGAATCGTAAACAAATGTGCAAAAGTAAACATGTAATTCATAGAGTATTTCAACATATACAACATTATTTGAAAAATGTTGATAAAATTATTTATTGTGTTAGTTGACAAACAAAGTCAACAATTTCACAAATATGTTAAAATGCACTTTTCCAATTTATAGGATGTAAAATGTAGAATTTCAAAACAAATACACGTTTTATTTCAGAATATCTACAAGTTTTTTTTTATCAAAAAATAAAAATAAACTGAAAAAAGTAAAGAAGTGAATACTTTTCTATACATAAATTGTTTATAAGTTAACATTTTATCTTTTAATATAAAAATACATATTTATACACTTTCCATCATGGAAGATATTTCAGTATATATTTTCAGTCTAACAGTTTTGAAAATGTAATTTATATTGTAATATTTAATCATTATTAAACGATTTCAAAAATATTCATTTCAACTTACAGTCTGTCACATATTTATGTTAATGATTTCTTAAAAAAAATACAATTTTGATATGGTTTGTAAATTAGTATTTATTTACAATTATGGTATGTCATAAAGAAAACAATAACTCTGCTGTTATTTCACAAGAATAATTTTTAAATTGACATTAATATTTTGATAATGTATTTGACAGTAAAATATTGTGAGGTGAACAAATAAAGTTATTTACATATTGCAATTGGCACTTACAATCCGTGCAAATAACCAAGAAGAGGTCAAAATGTGCAAAAAAGCCCTTACTGCGTTAGTAATGCAGTAGAAATATGGTGATTAAATACTGCAAAATCAGTCTTAAATCGCAAATAACATGTAAACTTTAACATTGATCTTGATTGTTTTTACCTTTCTTGAAATATTAGTACATTTTTCTCAATTTTCATTTTCTTAAACTATTTTGGCTTATCTGCAGGCGTGCAGCTTTAAGCTATTAAACTATAAGTAAAGTCATAAATGCTATGCTGACAGAAAATTAATGTTTTTATTAATGCATTTTCAGCAACAAATCTAAAACAAAATAAAAACAATTTGTTTAGATTTATATCTTAGAAAATGTTAAGTTTAATTATTTTTTGTTGAATTTAAAGGTCTGCATCTTAATAATTAATCAAATATTGAAACCAAAAAAGAACAACAATAATTGCAATCTTGATATCTTCCATTTTTTCATTCCACTTTTTTGTTTATTAAAAGAACACAGTCATTTAAATGCAGGGGAGAAGCATAAATTGATTTTTTCTGTGACAAAATTGAAAATTTGGATTCATTTTCTTTACCAAAGTTGATAATATCATTAGAAAAAATCTAAACCAATATATTTTACTTTGTTTTAAATAACAAAATGCTATTTCGTTCTTTTTCTTAAAAACAAAAATTTTAAGAAAATAATGTGATCTGTCCTACTCAAATAGGAAAATGAATTATTATGTATAAAAATATGCTCATTTAGATTTCTATAAAAATAGACGTTAAAACTGCGGCCTTTAAGTTACATACCATAGCTGCATATTTTAATCACATTTCCATAATTGTATTTCATGTTAGATGAATTTAGAATTATACATGCAGTGAATAAAAAGTATACATGCAGTGAATGAAGCAAACAAAAAGGTGACTTCATTTCCCCCAAGACATTAATAATAAAACAGTACAACTTCATGTAGAAGAAAAAACGTTTTGTTTAAAATCAACCATATATTAATTTTAATTGCATATAAAGAGAATGTATATTCATTTCATTAGATAAATAAAACTTGAATATATGTATAGTTTACTGTTATATCTTAAATGTTTGGTAGTTATGTATACAATTTCAAATAAAAGGCAAAAATTAATATTCTTTTGAGAAATGTTAACTAGCTTAGTGGACATGCATTTATTAGGTTTCTTAACCCTTTCACTGCCATAGGGACCCTGTTATTTTCGGCGTATTTGCCATATGGACGGCTTAAGCCGTTTCTATAATATTGATAGTAATAATAATAAATTAATAATCATAATAAAAAAATAATAACAAATATAAAGAAAATTATACGATCGACAATAATTATTATTATACTAACAGATTTGGAAACATATATAATTATTATAATACTAATAACAAATAATACTAATTATATTAATTATTAATATAGTAATTTCTTAGAAAATCCTCTGGCAAATAAGTGAACAATAAAACAATAACCCTCTGGCAGCGAAAGGGTTAAGCTATATTTTTAGACATTTTTGTGATTAAAATGCATAACATTAATTTTATTATTTATACTTGTGATGTATTAAATAATATTTTATTTTGTATATATTATTTTATGGTCATTGTACCTAATTGTTCCTAAGGTAGGCTCTTTATGAATATTTATTGAAATTAAGTAGATTTTATCCAATATATTTTTCCTCAAGATAATATATACTTTACGTTTCTTAATATTTTTTTCAGATGAATATTTACATCATGGGTTCTGAAAAAGAAGGAAAATGCATTTCGATACTTTGTTGGGGCCCCACAAGAATGCAACTGTTGTTTCTTTGATGACGATTGGAAACAGTTGAAGACTGCAGACACAAGAGAAACATTTTCCTTTTGGATTTAACCCATTGAATTATTGAAATTCTGAATGGAAGCCACAAAAACATGAACATAAACAATACATTTTATAAAGATATAGCTTGGAACGTGATATGCATGTTATCTGACATACATGTGTAGTGCATTTTGATCTTAACGATTGCCTGTTCTGTTTAAATATTTAGATTATTTCAGCAGCTGTGTTTCTTTTTTAAATTTTGATGGAAAGTAAATGTAAATGTTTCTAAAGTTTTATTTTAAAACGTTATTCAGTGCGTATAGATAAAGTGCTATTTGTTTTGTTAATGGAATATTGATACAATTATTACTTCTCCTATCGATGATTTTATATTTGTTTGTTTTGAAGATTATCGTTAAATTTATTTGTAAATATATTTCTCTTCAATCAACATAATAAATTATTCAAAACGCATATTTTATTCTTTTTTTCCCAAATAATTAAATAAGCTATTTGTCTGATATCATGGATAGTAACTATTTACATAATTATGATACGAAATTATGTGAATTTGAATACATAAATTGCTAATCTGTATCGTTGTTTATGTGTATCCATCTAATAACAATACAATCCTGGTTTCGATTCTGATATTTGAGGTTCAATTTATATACGATATATACATGTATATATTTATAAATGATACATTATTTCTCATTGACATTATTTCTCATTGTGTTATTAAGAATGGAAACTGTTTCCTAAAGTATTTCAAATATTAGTTTTTGTTCTTGAACAATTTTATATCTGCTATATATAAATATATACTATACTGTGCTCCTCTTAGTTCACGGTACTTAACCATTTGAACAAGAAAGAAAACAACAAATGAAACGTATGGTACAAAAATTGTCATGAGCTGTAACATATTCTGCTGCATGACACAAGGAAACAAAAATATATTTAGTCAAAATCAGTTTTAATGGGCCAGACGTAGATCATATGTCGGCCATTTTGAAAACAGTATGTCATCATTTAAATCGCGGAAATGGTGTAAAATTTATTTTTGCAACAAACAAGAACATCAAGAAAATGATGATTGTTTCAGACATATGCATAAATTTAATGGACTATTGTTGCCTTTTGCAGATATTTGTAAAATGTTGTTCTATTTTACGCAAAAAGCTAGAGATTTAAAATATTTTGCACAAAAACTTTGTTGTTTAGGTGTATGAATAAAATATGTCAATTCAGACCATTTTAACACTGGTCACATGAAAATAGCCATTACCGTGAAATAAGTGATGACGCGGAATTAGTGATGTTGAGTATATTATTCTGTCGTAGTTTTGGTGTTACTATCAGCATAATTAATTATGGTATGAGAAACCTTCAATTGTAGACTAATTTACAATTATGCACGAAATTTATACAGATATATCCATTTTGACTTTGATACACCGACAAAAAGAGTTATTCATTCAGATCCGAAACGATGCTCTCTGTATTTTGAGGATAATTTGACATTAGATAGTACAGATTAATATTTTTTTTCTTATTGACATAAGACAATAGGTAGATAAAGGTGTGAACAAGAATTTCAGTTGTTGGCAAAATAAGAAGAAGTTATCAACAGCTACTTGCTTTGTCTTCAAATATCGTATGAATATCAATTAGTTGTTTTCATGACAATTGACTTAAAACGTTAAAAAAAAGCTCAATTGTCAAACCAGCAAGAAGCATGTTATATTTCGTATTATATTTCACATTATATCAAGTAGTTGAGGGGTTAGAGTCGATGATTTCTAATCCATTTACCTCTCTGGTGTGGGTTCGATCCCCGGGAGATGCTTTGGTAGTTTAGCAAGGAGGAAGGTAGTCTAGTACTGGTGTAACTCTCCGGGAACGATGGTTAGGAAACTAACCGCCTATATGACTGAAATACTGTTGGGAAAAGGCGTAACATGAAACAAACAAACAAAAGTGACTGTAAAATCCCTTTCATATTGAGTTATTTTTATTTAAGTATGAATTTGAAGAATACCTTTACTGTATTGCCCAGTTTGAATGATGTTATAAGATGTTTGCCAGTAAAAATAATAGTTTGTCATGAAATAAAGGCGTTATGTGAATAGATACACGTCTACTTTATAGATTTTAATAACTATTTTAGCCCATACAGTGTTAGTTTATTAATAATGTGAAATAGAGTTTCTGATTGAAAGAAGTCACCAAGCACGTCAACGGAAGAAAATTACCAAAATATTAAACTTGAAAGTTATGAAATAAGTTTGCAGATAGCAAGTCTTTTATTCGTTGAATAAATGTAGGTATCCTTATTTAACTCATTTTTGAAAATTTTGACAATGTATTTTTCCATTGAATGGATTTGTATATAATTGCTTTAGAAGAAGCTATCAAGCATCCAAGCTAGCTGACAGAAGGCCGGTAGATCTCAAGTCTCTGCTCGTGCCTAAACTATTACATAAAGTGACATTAAGTGTCTTCCTCCACCAGTAAAGCTGGAAAGTCATCTCATGACCTTTCCTGTATCAGAAAAACCTATAATAAAAACTATTATCAAAATAATCAAATAAATGTTTCAGTTCTTTCTGAATAGTATTGTTGCAGTGAGAACGCCATATCAACGTGCATTATTTTAGATAGATTTGTTAGAAAAGTTTCATCAAAAACTTTTTAACAAATGCTGCAAATTGTGAATTAGACGAACTAAACAAAATCAAAAACGAATGTGCTCGTATTGCTTCCGGATGTACACTAGAAAATATTTCAAACGAAAGAATATATGCCTGAACAATACTTTATCTTAACCTATTTTTTCCGACTGCAATAAGGGAATGGAATAATCTCATATGATGTACGCAACCTTTCAACTTTAGCATCATTCAAACACAATTGTAAGAAAACCAAACAACACACGCCTATTATTTTTCTGGTGAAAGAAAAAAATACTATTGTATTGCGTATGTTTATATACATATTTACTCGGACCCATTATATATTTATTCTAAATGCATAAAATGGAACGTATACTATGTTTCTTTAAGCATTTAAATACATATCTGTATTTTCTTTTTTCTAATTTAAACCCACTGATTTTTCTTTTGTTTTTACTCGTTTCGGATTATTCAGTATGCCTATTATATGACAACTTCGCACTAAGCAGAAGTATTTCATAAGACACTTTGTTTTCCATTCTAATGCTATTTTCTAAGAATATTTGAAATGCTTTGAGTGTATTGTAAATTGAAAACTGAGAAATAAAATATGTTAAAACATTACTTCACGTTGGTCTGTGTGTATATTTTTGTATTACTTGTACAACTGATTGAACAATAAAAGTAAGGACAAAGTACGATGATATGTGTTTGTTTTCAAACCATAACCAACTTATTTCGGAATAATTTATAAAGTCTTGAACAATTGGGACTTCTTTTACTTAATATGTACTATATAATAGTTATATATTTTTAAAGAATTTTTAGTCGAAGCATGCACAGAACTAAGAAAGACTTTGCCTCGACATCACAATACTTTTATTGCCAATAAACCTCCAACTGGAGTAAATAGAATCGTCCACATGAATATAAAGCTTTGATTAAAATCTATTGATTTTAACCCTGGATAATTTATATTACTTTAAGGCTTTTACTGTAATGCAATAACTCCTTTTCATATTGAAGTTTTGAATAATAGAACAGTTAGAGAATCGTGAGCCTTTTAAATAATAGATCATTTGCAACCGCTTTCATTAAGATAAATTGGCATTTGAAATTCAAAGCGAATCAAAGTTTAATGCCTAAAGGTATACAGTTTTGTTCTGAGTAATTGGAGAAAGACATGATTGACAGTCGAATCCGGCGTCTATTGTATGTAGCAATATTTGTTCGTCTCCTCGTAATAAGGCCGTTGCCAAGCAACCATCGAGTGTAGTGATATTCAACACTGGGAGACGGCAGTCTTATTATGATTTAAACAGTTTATTCGTGTGAAGTCGATATTCATAGACAGATGTTTATTGTCCTTTATGTTAAAGTTCAACTTTCCCTTCGGTGTCGGTTTACTGTCTTTAAAACTTCAAATGGTAATGTCCTTTCATAACGTAATATATCTCATGATTTTTATAGACAATATAGTATACAAACGTTTAAATATAAGCTTGTTGTCAATTATTGTAAATTTATGTTCCAGTGATATTTAAACATGCGATGTCCGTGAAATAAGTAAGTAATTGGTATTTTTTGTTTGGTTTTACGGCGCACCCAGACAATTAAGGTCATATGACGCCGAAACAGTAAGATGAAATTTCCTCTGGTGTAACAAACTTAGATTTAAGCCACACCATGGGTCAGAACATCCTCACCTGCTAGAGCTAAAAGACGTATAGACTTCAGTAAATCAAACCCATTTAGTTCCCTTTACGATCACCCAGGGATAAACGGTGGTTGCAACCTTAATGGCAACCAGTCACAAGGGGGAAGTAACTGTTATAGTTTACCAAACAATAGGTCATGTTTTTCTGTGCAAGATAAGTGTTTGCTCAAAAAAGAACTCCTAACCAGGGTGATATGCTCGCTTTCTTAGTGATCTCAAAAGCAAAATACTTTATTTGATACACACAATTATCACACATTACTTTATTTCCTTTTTTGAATTATTTATTTAACTGAAACAATTATGACATTTATTCATTTGTTGTTTTTTTATTTGCATTTATTGATCTGTTTTAATGTATCCCAAAAGTAAACTTGAACTGATAATTTTTATAAAGTATGTAATATTATTATATATAGTAACGTTTTGCCAATACTTAATTTACATCTCCTAATGCATAATTTTAAACAAACAATGCAGTAATATTGACCTAATTCTTACTATGCAAGTATAAGCAGATTAAAAACATTAAACAGAACTCTAATATTCGTTTAGAAACAGTTTGTTATGGTAACATTTCAAGTTATCTAAATTTTTCTTTCTAAAATGATTAAAGGTTCAATGGTATTGTTTATTATTATATGACACGAACTTCGTGTGATAGTTTGCGTGTAGATCAAAAATATTGTCTTCTAAATTACCTTTATGAATAACAATAAACATTAAAATTTGTTTATGGTAGACAATAAATATTATAAAATATTGCTTCTCTTGATATTCAAAAGAACTTCAGCAGGTGTTTCGAAAGTAAATAGTAATATCGGAAACATAGAAATATAATTAAAGACAACATTAATATGATATTATAGTGATAATTTTCAACTGAAAAAAATGTTGTAATATTTTCTTTTAAGCATTTTAGCCCGACTGATGAAAGTTTGAATCCTAACTGAATCACCACGAGCTTCTTCCTGTAAATTATAGGTATAGTTCGGAACCCAGCATTGCTCAAATCATGATATATAAGGATACAAAAGCTGATACCAAACGTTTGGAAACTTGAGGTAGATTTATATGAT